CCTGGAGTGAAATGAAAATTACACCAGGTACACAAACCATAGAAGAAAGCATGAAGAAGAAACGAATGCGAGCATATGAGACATCGGCATGCTTTTGTCAGTCACGGGACTGACATAACAAGGATGAATCTCGTTGTCGACAAAGCGGAGGGAAGCTGCTACGATCGTTGTTGATGGTGCAAACGATGTTCCTCAGGCGCTCGACTCAACTCAGATGGTGAGACTTTTGCAAACGATTTCTACCGTGCGAACATGTAACATGACCAAATCTGTATGGGTGGATTTATGAGATGAATAAAAATTTCATTTATTGCAAAAAACTGGATGGAGATCAGAAGACAGATTTGGAACGATGTGGACTAAAGTATCAGATTGAGTTATTTCATCGCTAATGTATAGAGCATAGTTCTTTATCGGTGATCACATCATAGTCTTCATTATAGTCACGTAGAAAAAGTCACATTTCCCTTAAGGTAGAATTCTTGTTTTTTCAAAGTTTTTGAAAGGAGTTGTAGTAGTTTGCAAACACAATTTTTCTTCTATTATTGTTATACATTACAAATAAATAACAACATAAAACCTACGGCATTATTTTCATTTTACGCGATTTTTCTGAAAACAATAGTATTAACTAGAATCAGTCAAGATTGTATTCCTACGTCTAGTATGATTGGTACTCAATAAATTTTGTTCTGTTGCGCAAGCAAACAAAAAGTTTCTTTTCATTGCTTGGTATTGAAAGTATATAGAATAAATCAGTTAAAAAGAAAAAACAGTGTCGCGGCGTGGAAAGAAGAAAGTATACCTTGTAGAAAGAACCTTGTATATTAAAGTTGAATAAGAAAAAATAATAACTGAACATCAGTGATTCGTTGATAACAAAAGATTAAATTCTATATGCCATCGATTGTGAATAATAATAAAAATAAAATCGTATTTTGAAAAGAGGTATTCCTGATCATTTGTCTCTTGAACGTTACTAGAACAGCAACCATGATCACAGGACAAGTGATCCGTTTATCATCTGTCGAAAATTTTACAAACATTAATGATGAAGACGACCGAAAAAAGAGCAAAAAGCAAACACTAGAAATACGTATAATTTTATTTTCAATACTTTTTCTTCTAATTTCTCTTCTAATAATTACAATTGTTATATGGACAGTGCCTAGGAATCAGCAATCCATCACTACAACGACTAGTGCCTCTACAACTACGAGCGCTCCGCCTACGACAGTCAGTCTAATCTTTAATGTACCTGCTTCAAGTGGGTTAACGTTGGATCCATCTATTTTTCCCATAATTCAAAAAGCAGTAGGTATCGGTTAAACAAAGTCTTTCCGTCGAATTCTTCCTATTTTTACATAGGTGGAAGCCATCTTAGAAAATAGCAATATCGATACGAATGCAACACAAAATTTTACTGTTGATGACGCCACTTTTATAATCCCAAGCGTTCGGGTAAACGCCTGGCGAAGAACGTTAAACTACGTATAAACGTTGACCTCTCTGATTAGAAAACCCGTGCAGTAACCGCCTGCCATAATGAAAGTCAGTCAACAATTCAAGTGAACGTCTCGCTTACACTCAACTATGCAAACAATTGCGACAATACCTGTCGGGATAATTTCTACCAATTAATCAATAATTTACCGAAATGTCAGACTTTCGACAACGCAACACGTATGTACCAGGACCATCTAGCACTAAGACTTCCTCTAAACAAGAACTGCCTCCAATTTAGTATACGCATTATTGACAAACGGAACTCGTCCAATCAGTACTACAGAAAGTCCGTCGCCCACATTTACGACAACTACCGCTGTGACCGCTACGAACACCGGGCAGAGTACGCCAACCATCACTGTGACCACTGCCAACGCCAGCGAGAGCACGCCAACCATCACTGTGACCGCAACCTACACTGGCCAGAGTACGCCAACGATTCCTGCGACGATCCCTCCGACCACTACTAGAACGACCCCTGTGACCACAATCAACACTGGTGAGGGTAGTGAGACACACACTGTGATCATAACCACTACACCGACGGCCGCTCTGACCATAACGAATACTCTGATGATTACTATGACGAGAACAAGTGCACCGACAATTTCTGTGACCATTACCAATATTCCGACGATCGCGCTCACCACCAATACTCGAACTATCCCTGTGACCACAACCAGTAGACCGACGATCGCCATAATCACCACCAGTACATCGACGATCCCCGTCACCACCACCACAAGACCGACGGCCGCTCTGACCATAACCAATACTCCGACGATCGTTGCGGCTACAATCACTACTCCGACGATTGTTGTGACCACATCCACAAGACCGACGGCCGCTCTGACCATACCCAATACTCCGACGATCGTTGCGGCCACAATCACTACTCCGACGATTGTTGTGACCACAATCACTAATCCGACGATTGTTGTGACCACAACCACTAGACCGACGATCGCTGTGACCACAGGGACTGCTCCGACGAGTGCTATGTCCGTTACCACAAGACTGACGGCCGCTCTGACCATAACCAATACTCCGACGATCGTTGCGGCCACAATCACTGCTCCGACGATTGTTGTGACCACAACCACTACTCGGACAATCACTGCGATCGGAACCAGTACTCAGATGATTGCTATGACGGGAACAACTGCACCGACAATCGCTGTGACCACCACCACTAGACCGACGATGGCTGTGACCACAACCGCTACATCGACGATCGCCGTCACCACCACCACAAGACCAACGGCCACTCTGACCATAACCAATACTCCGACGATTGTTGTGACCACAACCACTAGACCGACGATCGCTGTGACCACAGGGACTGCTCCGACGAGTGCTATGACGGTTACCACAAGACCGACGGCCGCTCTGACCATAACCAATACTCCGACGATCGTTGCGGCCACAGTCACTACTCCGACGATTGTTGTGACCACAACCACTACTCGGACAAGCACTGCGACTGGAACCAATACTCAGATGATTGCTATGACGGGAACAACTGCACCGACAATCGCTGTGACCATTACCACTAGACTGACGATCGCTGTGCTCACCACCACTTCATCGACGATCGCCGTGACTATCAGCACAAGAGCGACGGCCGCTCTGTCCATAACTAATACTCCGACGATTGTTGTGACTACAACCACAAGACCGATGGCCGCTTTGACCATAACCAATACTCCGACGATTGCTGTGACCACGATCGCTACTGGGGCAATCACTGCGACCGAAACCAATACTCAGATGATTGCTATGGCGGGAACAACTGCACCGACAATCGCTGTGACCATAACCACTAGACTGACGATCGCTGTGCTCACCACCACTACATCCACGATCGCCGTGACCACCACCACTAGACCGACGGCCGCTCTGACCATAACCAATACTCCGACGATTGTTGCGGCCGCAGGGACTACTCCGACGACTGCTATGACCATTACCACTAGACCAACAGCCGGTGTGATCACAGCGACTAGTCCGATAAGTGCTATGACCATTAGCACTGGATCGACGATTGCGCCCAGGGCAACAAGTAGACCAACAAGCGCACTGGCCACAAGCAATATGGAGGACTGATTAATCTATTTATGACGAAGATATTTCAGTGACGAATTTTCGAAATTTTTGATTTTATTGTAAATGAGAAGGTGCATAATGAAAACGGGTTTCTGAGATGCTAACTTCTATTCTCAGTTTCTCTTTGATCTATTGTTGCTGTTGTTGATTTTTGAAATTCTCTGTTGTCGGCAGTTGTAACAAGCAGAAATCCCCCTGAATTCTTTTTAAACGAAGTGTACGATCCGATTATGCGTTATATATTCCATACTCAACAATGTCATCGGCGATATTATTGAACTCCATCGAATCATCTACATTTACTCTCGCAAATCTATCCGCGTTAGTTGGGGGCTATGTGGTGAATAACATTTTTAGATTTTCAGCATAATCGCTCTGTACAAACTTTTGCTTCTTGTTCTTCTTTGTTGAGTTACACAAAAGAAGGTACTAGTTGACAGTAGATTATAATTTATGATTCCGTAATCTCTTCGTTCTCTTAGATGCTAACGTTACTTCTAAGTTTCTCGTTTGATCGTCTGTTTTTTGTGTTAGTTTTGTAAATTGTCTTCAATCTGAAGTTGTAAAAAACAGAAAACCCGCAACCTTTGTCATTATCTGTCGTGTATAATAAGCGTGATATACTGATGACAAACGAGCGCTTGTGAGCACCAGTTTATAACTGTAGTCAGGTATCTATATTCTCTATGTACTGGTGAAGTTCTTGAATTGATTGTAAGTCAGAACGTGTACAAGGAAAATAGTTTTTGTCGACAAAATGCTAGTCTTTCACTGTATTTTACGTCTTCATCGTAAACAGAACAAAAATGCGTGATTAATAAGCACATGCACACATAAATAATGTATAAAGTACTAATTCTAAGGTAGATATTTAACAATAAACAAAATACCGCAAGATGAAAGTTGAGCGATGGTGAGCAATGTTACCATCGACACTTTAAGACTAACAGTGATTAATCCAACTAATCATAATTGAAGTATACAGCGAATGCATGGTACTGGTATCGTTAATGGTTTGTTTGATCTTTTGTTTAACCCAATATTAGTAGAACTGCAAAAAAGATTTCAATCAATTGATAAAAATTGAATAAATTCAAACTTTGGATATTCGATTTCGGGATTTTGATGAAGAATTGGTTTTACAAACTGATGACAAAAATATGTCATTCAGTAATGCAAATTTAAAAAATCTGAGATGATAGAAAATTCTTATCATCGTGGATTGTCAAAACATAGTATAATGTTTATACAATCTTTCTTTTTTTAATTGACCATTACGACAAATAATATCACAGTCAGCTTATTTATTAGAGAGAAAAAGTAATAAGATTTCATTTCCGAAGATCTTACGTTAAATCAGTTGAAAAGTGTCAGGAAGCCCATGCTTCGATCATCGTTAATAATAAAAAGCCTTGCTATAACTAAAAATGGACATATTTATTCTAAACGTTTAGATAAAACATTCAGAAT